CAAAGGATCACCCTGCACTACAGCTGGAGCCCCTCACACCACACAAATGGCACCTCTGCCTCAGAACACAGCTCAAGACTGATTTGTCCAGATTCAGTCCCCTAAAGGCCTTTCAGTAGTTTAAGCAAACCCTCAGAAGCATAACAATAGTTTAAGACAAAAGACCACATGGGAAAAAAGTTTTAATCCAAAGCTTTATAGCCTTAACACAAACACACAGGGGCATGTTCAAATGTTTGTGTCCTTACTACTTTTGTCTGCTGAGCTTTATTTTGAAAGTTTAAAAGCCAGCCTTGAACACTCAGAGTACTCATTTTATTTGATGACTGATTTTCCAACATTTTTAGCAGTATTAGATTTTCTTATTAATCAGCATCTGTGCCACAAACAGCATTATGTATTTCATATTTACAGCTTCAAATATTCAGCACAGGGCCATAAGTATTCTAAAAGCTTTTTAGAAAAACAGAGTGGATTACTGAGTAAAATCAAGTATCATAATACATCTCTGATCTTGTAGTCAGATCAACACGGATCATCTCTCTCTCCTAACAAAAAGCCATTGGCGCTCATTAGTGATTTTCACAACCCAGATAGATTTCTTTTTTTAAAATAATCACTACAAATACAGTTCTTTTTTATCTTATTTTGTACTCCAAAACCCTAAACAGCTTAGCTCATTTCCACTATTCCAGAGAACTCTTGGACTGGTTTATACAAGACCTTGTTTTAATGATACTTCATTATAATAAGGACAAAACCATCTCATTTTGCAATCTCCATATCAAATTTCATGCATGCATAAGTAAGAAATATTCCAAGATGAAAAACTACTCAGGGAGCATCCATTCTCATAATTTGTGTCTTTCATCTTAGACCACTAAGAAGCTTTTACCTAAAACTTAGGTTGCACATGCAGAAACTGGAATACAATTAACACTCTATTATCCATGAGAAGATTATGTAAATTGTGGGTTAAGCAGGGTCATCTTCTTTTACCGAAACACCCCTGGCTTCCACAAAGTACAGTGCTGCTTCTGTAAGACCCTGTACTTACTATCTGTCACCACTGTAAGGCTGACCTTGTTTCTCCACAGAAAGCAATCCATTAATTTTATAAAAGGTCATATTTTAAGTGTATGTATTTATTTATATTACCATTTCTCCCCTCTATCTTCATTATCTTTTCCCTCTCCAAATTAGTGTTATGAATAGCATAGAATTGACTGTCTCTAAAGCAACTACTCAGTTTTTAGATATTTCGATTTAAAAATCCTCTGGAACTCTCTAGTACTCAAAACAGAACTTTATTTGAAATTCTTAACCATCATTTTTGTTCCCAAGTATTTCACAAGCTGTTGGTGACCCCAGTGAAAAACAGCTCTCAAGGAAAAACACTGCTATGAGCTTCCCATAACCTGTCTTTCCCCACAAACCATGACCACCAGAATAACCAGTATTCCAGAGGTCGAGGGGTTTCCTTGGGATACCAGATTGGTATGGCTGAGCTGATGGAGTCTTCAGATGGCAAACCAGGGCTGTTTATGGCTTTTGAGTTTTGGGAATTCCAGAGGTTCAGTGGGGAAAGATGAGTTTAGTTTCACATGGGAACAGGATTAAAAGTAAGATAAGGGATGTCAGCAAACAAGTCTCCTCTCCCCACTCATGTCACTCAGCAAACATTCCACCCATGGATCTTAAAAAAACTGGAAGAAAAAGCATAACCCAACTTTTACCCAAGGTGAACAAGGCATGTTAACAGTAAAGCAGAACGTATAATAAACAACATCAACAGCAGCAATTACAACCAACATCTATTGTATACAAACTTTTTCTGGCTTAACAAAATAATAAGCTTCTTAGTGTTTCTCTAAGCAGATAAGTGTGTCAAAATCACTGAATGCATTTGGACAAACATAAAGCTTCAAAAGAGTGGTAACAGATGAGGAAAATTACCAGGTCAAAACACAACTTTGCATCTGAGAGGAAGGTGTGGGGAAAAAACCTAACACCTTTCGATCTGCCCCAAAAGAACACTGATAACTCGTGTGAAGTTCATGCCTCCCACTTTGAACATACCAAAGCGTCAGTAAATAGTATACATGACACTGATATTCTTCACTCATTGACATGGCTATGAAATGGGTAGATTCTTAAAAAGAACCCCGTTTATGCACTGTGTACAACTGCAGCTTTGATGAAGGGTTCAAGTCAGGCACTTTTGTAGTTAAAAACAACAGAAGAAATAAAAAAAGCAGACAGATTAAGTGTCTTGACAGACACTAGAGATAAGATCAGTGGACAAAAAGCAGAGTTACTACTCAAATCCTGGCTCTGTGTTTAATAAATTAAATCTCAATTGCATCCTTTACAATGTGTCCCCTTTTGTCTCATTGTCAATATTCGTAAAACATCAGTCTTTGGTGCCCAAAGACTCCAAAGCGTGTCTGGCTTAAATGTTCCTTTTGGTTGGGTTCTTTCTCCTTTCCATTTTTTTTTTTCCTTAATTTAAGCAGAAATTCAGCAATCTCAGATTCAATCATATGAATTGAATATTCTTCTCAGTAGTAAATTCACTGTAAGGCTACAGCTCAAGAGCATTTTAAGCAAACTTAAGCCTGGTATCACCTCTAAATGCTTCTTCACCACATTTGGGGAGGCACATGGGGAACCAGATTGGAGAATCACTCCAGCTGGAAACTAACATAACAAAATTATACCGATTATTTTCAGCCACAGCATTTTCTTGACTTAGCTTATTGCCTGGCTGCCAAAAAACTGTTTCTTCTGCCAAGGGGTACGCGAAAACAAGGACAAACGCAGTAACAAAAGCAACATCTTTTCTTCCTGTGGCAGCAACAACTTATGCCACTGTAAAGTATTTGCGTAGCCATGGATTTAAAAAGGTATGGCATTCATTCCTGCCAAGGCAACTCTTTCTCTGGCTGTGAACTAACCTGTTTGCTAAGTGACTCATTCTTAGGAAAAGCCTTGTTATTTATTTTTTTTTAATAAAACAGTTTCACAGCACTTAGATAGACAATGGGAGTGAGCACAACTGAACTGGCAGATCAGAGAGCACCTCTTTGAGATAAAGAGCTCGTTTTAAAGCAAATCTACTGCCAACTGAGTAACAGAACCAGTCTTGGAAAAGGTCTTACTTCAAAGAGGACAGAGATTCCCAAAGGAAGTTTTGTAAAAGAAAAAAATGTATATGCACATGTATTTTTAATGTAAGCTTTGGATTTCAGAAAGCAATGCTGTTTTGCCAGGATTTTGTACCCCACACTTCATCCCCTGTCTCCTCTACCTTTTTTTGCTTTCCTCTTTAAGAGTCAACCCCAAAATATGAACGATGCAAGTGGAGAAACAAGAATAAACACTTTAGGAATTTGAAATTAAACATTTAATCTACTTTTATTTTATTTTAATCACCAAAGAAACTGGTACATATCAGCCACTGATGATGCACTGTAACTACAGATCCTAGCTACATTGATTTAGCATATTTGGTACTGTTACTCCTAACCTTTATGTCCACAGTCAAGGCTTTATACTGATTTATAAAAGAAAAAGCAAGAGTGAAAAAAGTTTCCTGTAGAAATAAATAGTTACTATTGCACTCTGGTCTAAGTTTTATAGTCCAGGTGGCAGGTCATGACACCTCTTCAGGTTCAATTTACGCTCCTGAGAGCCTTAGAAACGTTGTTAGAGCCGCCAGGAATTTGCCTACAGAGCCAACTCCAGCTACAAAGATTACTGTTCTGATTATGTAAAGACACCAATTTAAACTTGAGTACTTTTTAAATGTTAACTCTTGCTATAAAGTGTTTGTGGGCATTCCTGGCCTCAAATCAAACATCCTAGGCACTAAGCAGCACTGGATATGTTCATTACATTGTTTCAGGGATGCACAAATTAATTTTACTGCCCTCTATAAACATCTATCTATACAGTCATTTTGCAAATAAAGATGCCAAAGGGTTTCTCTAACTCCAGATTACTGGGGGTTCTGGACATAACAAGAGCAATTTTTCGTCACTACATCAACAATACTGCTCAATCAAAAACCTGACTTCCTCACACTACCTAAACACTCCAGAACTGCAATTAAAATACGAAAGAAAGAAAAGCCATTTCAAGACTGCCTATTCCACATGTTCTTTCTAGTCAGCAGTTCCAACACCAGCACCACTGTGATTGCAGCCAAAATCCCATGGAAACTGTCAGGTCTCGCAGATCCACAGTTTCCTAACTTCCTAATGCTCAGCTCTGGAAGCTGAAAACAAGTCGCTAACAACTACAACACATGGTAATGGAAAAACAGAGCACATGGCTTCTGTTGTTACTGTTCATCCTGTTGGCCAAAACCAGGTATATAATTAGGCAAGCAGAACAGGCACGTGCATATTAAGGAAGCTTTAGAAATGTAAAATAGTGGCTAACACCTCACTCCCAATAAAACTCTGTGCTATGAGACAATCCCTGCTTTATAATCTGCCCGGAGGATGGGAAGGAAGTAGATTTTTTCCTCTTCCCCTCCCCTCTCAAGTTAAGATTTAAAAACTGCATCCATCTCTGACACAAAACCAAGACAAACAAAAGCCACGCAGAAATTACTGCTCATACTTCTGCTCATCACTCCTCTTCAACAGAGCTACACCAAGAGATTTGCTCTTCTCCTCAAGATACATAGCTCACCAAAAAGAAAATCCAACCCATCCCACACGTTACCCTCTCTAAGTTAAGCCTTGGCACAACAACTACATTAACACACAAGAAAGTGTTCAAAGGCTCGATGGCATCTAACAAAACACTCTAGTTTCGGTGAATGACAAAGTTAACTACTCTTTCAGCACCTTTTGACGACCAGTAACCTGGCGAACATGAAGTCTGCAATGGCAAATAGCTGTGCCTTTACCTACCCCGCAAACAGCAAACACCACATCACACTGACACAAACCAACTGTATTTCACAAAAAAACTCGCATCACTCCTACCGGCAGGTCCACGCTGACATCCGTCCCGTCCAGCAGCGCTACTCGGCAGGTGATGATGGATTTTGCATCACCAGCCGCAGGGATGTGGGTGGCGGCCCTTTGGGCCTCTCTCAGCCGCTCCTTCTCCGCATGTTTCCGCATGGACCGCCGGCCCAGCGTGCGGCGGAAAAAACTCAGCATCTTTGCTGTGAAATCCAACAGAGAAAGAGAACACGTTAGCTTTTTACAGAAAGAAAAAAAAAAAAAATAGCCTGCACCTAAAGTTCTTAGAAAATACCAGACTTTGATAAATAAGTGTCAGAGAGTCAAACAGATGTTCCACTCTGGTTTAAATACCCGCAGCCTTTGGCTACTTTTGAAAACAAACAAACAAACAAACAACAACCCAGCTCAAACCTTGGGCGGGGGTTAGGTGATTCCTTTGGGACGAACTAGAAATACTTTTAGGAGAAACACCAGCGATCGCGTAGATCTCCCACAATTATGTGCGATCTTCTCCTAAAACAAACCCTCCCTCGCACTCCAGCGAGGCGAGGATATTCCCTCAGAGCTGGAAAGCAACTGAGCGCTACATTCCACCGGCTACTTTCCTGGCTGACACACTCCACCCCTCATGGAAAACAAGCGATAAGCGACCCCTTCCCGCCCCGCAGCAGCGCGTGCAGTTTTTCCCACAGTTTTCCCCCCTCGCTCTGCCAGGACCGGCGAGCGCCCCTCGGGGGTACGGTTGTTCCCATCCCGCTGGGGCTGCGACCGGCACAGGGACGGCCCCTCCGGGCCGGGCAAACAAACCCCCGGAGCTCGGCGGAGACAGTGCCGACCCCGCGGGCGGACCCAGCCGGGACGCGGCCGCCGCCCCGCTCGGCCGCCCCTGCCCTTACATAAGGCCCGCTCGGCGGCCCCGCGGGCCGGGCGGTCTCACCTGCCGGGCGGCCCCGCGGCGGGAGCGGCGCAGCCGGGGCGGCCGGAGCGTCCCCGCGGCAGCTCCTCCAGGCCCCGGGGGCGGGCGGGGGGCGGCGAGGGAGCCCCGGGAGGGGCCGGGCCGCCGGACATGGCGGAGCGACGTGGGAGGCCCTTAAAGGGGCGGCGACGCGCCCGCCATTCCCTCCCGCTCCGCCCTTACTCACCTGGTGGCTCCTGCGGCCGCGCTGTCCGGCTGGGCCGCGGCGCGGGGATGGAGGCGGAGGGCGGCGGGGAGGGGAGGCAGCAGCAGGACGGGAGAGGGAATCCTTTGCTTCCCGCCGCGCCGGGCGGCCATCGCCCCTTTAACGGGGCGGAGCGCGGTAGCGAAGGGGCTCCCCCTTCCCGTGCCAGGTGGTTTCGCCCGGCGGAGGGGCCGCGGGGGGGGCCTGGCGCGGACCACGTGCTGGTGAGGGGGGAGCCTGGAGCGGCCGGGAGCGGTGGGGCAGCGCTGGGAATGGGGGGCAGCCCCCCGGGAATTGACCCTGCGGGACGCGCTTCGAACTCTTTCGCGCAGTTTCTGTAGTTTCTGCTAACGCGTCGTAAAGGTTTGGCTCCGCGGCTCGGCCAGGAGACCGTGACCTGCCCTCGGCTGCCCAGCGGGGACTGGAACCTTCAGGCAAACACGCGCTTAAACCATTAAGTTTAGAAGGAAATCGTCTCTTCAAACGCTGCCTGAAAGAACAGCGGGAGCAGTGTATTAAATAAAGCAGAGCCGTCTACCCACGAACACTTATTACTTATACATTGAAATTCGCGACTACAAAATGTAGTTTGTATTCTAAGGTCCTTCAAAAACACCAGAACAGCCTGTCTGGGTGATCCGCGGTACTTCTGACACTTCTGTTAAGTGTTACTCCAGTCCCCGGGGACAAGCCCTGCTCCTTGGCAGCGATTACAAAGGGCTGCACCTTACTGTGTTTTTCTTAGTACATAAATATTTGTGTCCAAGCCAGTATTTGAGATCTCCAAATGGAAAACTTCAGGAAAGGCAATATAAACTCTGCGAGCATAGTGCCAGATAACAGTGACAAAGCTCCGAGTAAAGGTGCTCCAAATTCCTTAAAAATCCCAGGATAACACAACGGCCTGTGAAAACAGAGACTTTGGGTAATGATAACACAGCATTTTCTATGCTCAGCTCTGAATCCTGGGCTGAGATAATCAGTCACTTACCTGACACGCAGAGCAGCTGGCAAAATGAAACCCTTATTAGTACCATGCCATGGCACAATCAGCTCCAGTTACCTTCATGCCATCTGCTGAAATGGGGGAAAAAAAGCTTCCAGGTAATTGCCCACAATTTGCTGAGGAAACAACAGGCTGATTTTCATGTTAAATGTCTGTGTTGACAACTGAGCAATCCTCCTGCCCCAAGCAGGAGCAAGGCAAGCTTAGGGGAAAGGTGTGATTCAGGTTTGTGCCTGATTATTTATTCAAGAACATAAATCACAAAACAGGAGGAATTTAGATACTCTCTATCAGAGTATTTTGCTTGCTCCTGGCAGTCTGTCATGAAATACATGTGGGAGCTTACAATAAAGTTCCGAAAGAAGCCATACAAAATCTTACTATATTTAATGTGGAAAAAAATTTATCTTGCCGATTTCTGATGAATTCTCAGGGCAGATCACCTAAGTGATTGTTTGGATGTCAAGCTGCTTAGTTTGTAGCGGAAATCTGTCAAGTAAATAAATGAGAGCCTCCATGCTATTACATCTACATGAATTCACATTTTCCTATTAGACAAAGAATTCTAGAGAGTTCCCTGATTCTTGGATGTTTTTCATAAATTTTCTAACCATCTTCAACTATTTCCTCAAATTGAGTTTCTTTCCACTCTGTCATTCACAAGCTCCCATGCTGCCATCAAGAACTCCCATTATTTCCTTCCTGTAGCTTCAGCAACACAGAAACTTCTCATTTTTGTGCTTCCTACTTCACACCAGCCTCTTGCTACTTTTCTTGTAATTACAGTCTACTCCTTTCTCACTGTTTGCTACTCAGATCCAGTCCAGTATATGCACATTCAGCTGTGGTATCTGTGACTTGTCTTCTATCCAGTCTTCCCATGCCAAGTTTAAACAAACCTCTTCCTACTGAATGGCTCTTTTCTGTTTTCCTCCTTGAAACGCTTTCCCATTAGTTTATCTTTTTGTACTTCAAACACCTTCTCCTCACAGTCAAGTCTTACATTAATCAGTGAAATTTAGAACATACAAGTATCTCTTAGATGCCCATCCTTCCTGAGATTTTTGTCTTGCCTCTTAAGTCCTCTCATCATCTTTTTCCACTTCTACTTTGAACCATCCCCTCACTTTCTGGCAGCAAATATTTCATCACAAGCTTCCATCTGGGATTTTTGTTCTTCGCATCAGCATTCCTCATACCATCAATTTTGGGATCAGACTATAATCTCTACTGAACACTGTCTCCACTCACTGTATAAAAGGTAATTAAAAACTTACTCTGCCATTAGAGAAAAACTTTCAGTATATAATTTCATGGGAAAAAAATGGGCTGACACTATAACCAAACAATTTAATTCTTGATAATTTAGCATCCTCTTCTAGTCCTCTATCCATAGGGATGTATTTATGACATACAATGTCAAGAAGTAAAATACAATGTGAACATTACCTGGCATCAGACACGTATACATGTAGCACAGCAAACCCATGAGTAGAGCAGGAAGAAAAATCACACAAAAGAATGAAACTTTAAATTACTAAAGCACATCTTTATTTTGCAATTAAACAATTAAGATCCACAAGTAAACTATATATATATTTTCAAGTCTGTACCTAGACAACTATTTGTCAACTGAAATTAAATATATCCACAAAATATGCATAACAGCATTTTTCACATAATAGAATGAAATTTTACTTAAGACTAAAACAAGACTTGTTAAATGTTAATTAGCATATTTATCCTGGGAACTGCTGGTTTTCGGTAGAAGTTAGTGTATCATTTTAATGGCAAGAAATTTCATTTTATCAAAATGAGGACAAATACATAAGGCCCTTTAAAGCATACAGTAGCTGCAGTGACAAAAGCTGAATTTATTTTCACATTGTCCAGTGTTGACCAATTTCAAGTTTCCATCGTTTTCCATCAACACCCCGGCTGCTTAGCCAAGATGGTGCATTTAAGTTGTTGGTTTGTTTTTTTTTCCTCCCCCTCATGTGCTTTTAAACAAATTTATAGGCAAAAGTCTACTTATGGGAAGAACCTTTGCATCCCCCCAGCATTAATAAAGATACACAAGAGTTAGTCCAAACAACAAAAGAGCTATACAACTCTGAGATGATTTACTCCACACTTGCAGTCCATCATTCAGCAGTATGAAACTGAGATGAAATTTGACAACTGAAAGCCACAGCTGGAAATGCAAATTAATTACCAGAAGTAACTAGCAGATATATTGCCACCATCTGATTGTTAATAATGATCTAAATAATATTCTTCCCTTTGTATTTAGACGTAGTATAGCACCTGTTACAGAAAAAAAACCCAAACCTTACACAAACAGCCCTGCCAAACTGACTGGTTAAAATGGGATCACTGGTAAATGAAGCAAACCAAATGGAAAACAAACCTGGATACACTGGATAAGATAAAACCTTCACTCTCTTACCTTAATTTTCCTGTAAGATTATTATGGGTTGTTACTGTGGTGCCCCAATGTACCGAGATAATCGCACTGGATCATTTATAGTCTAGTCTTTATGGATATATTCTAGTTAAAGAAAACAACAGCTCAGTGTAAACTGTTTAACCCTTTCACTCATGTCTCAGGCCCCTGGCCTAGGTGCAAAAGGGTGACTTCTTTAAACTTCGTTGTGCATTATCTTTAGTTACTAAAATTCAAATAAGTTAAGTAAAAAAAAAAAAATACTGATTTCCAGGTAATTGATCTAAATGTTAAAAACAATGCTTAGCAGAAACATTTACAGTAAACATAGCTAATTTGCAGCTCGCTGAGAGAGATCACAGAGATAGTACTCCCAAGTACCCTGTAGGCTTCTATTTGCACCTTTTTTTTTCCTTCCCCTCCCACCCCCCCAAATGCAGGCTTCATATTCTTTTTAAGACAGGAGAACTGAGATGATAGAATTACCTTATTAATATCTATTTCAGAAAGTCCCTCAGAAACACACGAACAATAAACAAGAAATGGCTGGAATAACAGAAAGCATTAGTACCAGGGTGTAATCCAAATCATCTCTGCACAGAAACCCATCAAGCATCTCTCTCCAACCCCTATTTATTTTGTCCAATAGTTCAGTCAGTAGTAAGCATGAAATAAAGTGCTACTATTCAAATATCAAAACACTTTGAGAAAGATTACCCTTTAAAATGTGTAAGCTTGCTAAATACGAAATACCACAACCAACAAGCTGTCAGCCAGTCCGTGGAAACATAGTTGATGCTACAGCACACCGGAATCAGAGATATTTTAGTGACCTTTTCTTAAATGATGCTACTATTCAAAAAGTTTAAATTTTTAAAATTGAAAACTTCAGATTTTTTTTTGAAAGAGATTTATGTCTCCTTTTTTTCCATTGAGCACTCAATGAGTAAAACATGCCAAAGACAATAGCCAGAGCTTACAGCTTTATGCACCAGATCAAAATTTGTAGCTGGAGAAGCCCTATGAACTGAAAAGATGGACACTTGTAGGAGCAACAAGTACAGAGGTAAAATCCCAGTGATACAGAGATAAAATTTCCCAGTGATATAGAACTGGCCTCCTTTGCAGACTGCTAAACAAATAAGTGAGTTTAAATTTCTAACTGCAGTGGGATAACAGAGACTGGACAGAACAGTTACACTGAAACAAACCAACCGTTTCCCCCTTCTAACAGCTTCCCAATCACCACTAATTATAAATCCCTGCAATTTCATGCAAGATCCACAGCTAATCAATAAATATGTTCTTACCAGATTTTAATACTGGATCGAAGTGCTAAAATTAGCAATGGAATAGAGCTTTTCCAGTCTCGAGACAAAAGACAGGTACTAAACTTGGCAAATACACCCAACCCAGCCAACTGGGGACCTGAGATGTGGTCTACAAAAAAGACTGACCCTAGACAGCACTTCTCCTGTACTTGCTGGAAGTCTAAGTAAGAAAAATTTTCATTTGGACCACATCCTCCCTTTATCCTCAGGGCTGAGGGGCTTGAAGATTGCCTGCATAGTGGCTCTATAGTCAAAACTACAGCACATGTATAGGGCAACCCGCTTTCACTTGCCAATTGGTGGATCTGTCGAGTTTTTCATGCTCATGCGAATTCCCTGAGCCATCAAACATCCCCCACACACCTG